AAAGTACGCTTTTATCACGTACGTGTGTATATGTTTCCAATGGGAACTTAAAAATGAAGGTTATTTCCTGAAAAGAATTTCAAAGCCTCAGCTTTGTAATAGCAAGGGTTTACTTGGGTAATAATTTCTTTTTCCATTCTGCACCTAGGTGGCTGGCACTGACCTTCCTTCCCTGTCCTAGTCAAACACAGGGCAAAAGTGCACACTGGTAGCCAAGCCCTTGTCAGCCGTGCCCGGCTTAGAGGGACACTGAAAGAGCAAGGATGTGCACCTGAGAGAGCTCTACGCCTTGGTGATCCCTGGCTTTTACAAGCCCAGAAGTGCTTGTGGAAGAGTGGAAAAGCAAGGTAGCATTCCATATCCTGGAGGCACCAGTTGTTCACCTTCCCTACAGTACAGTTGTCGTTGCAGCCTGGGTTCCTTTGGGCTGACAAGATCTTTGTGTAATTACACAATATTGATGCACATCTGTGAGAACAAACCGTTAGGAACAAACAGTTCAAAATATCTATAAAATGTAGAATTTAAAAAAAATATTTTCAGGTGTGAAATGAGATGATGCTTTGCCTGCATGGGTACAAATTGATCCAAGTTCTGTGATGATAGTGTCACTGGTTTCATATCAGTTATCTCAGCATAACTTTTTGATTATTTCTGAAATCATGCACAGAATGAGGGGAGATTCAGTTTGACCTTTCCAGACTTGCTGCATTTTAATTTTTCCTATGCTTAGAAATAACACAGAAAAAAACCCAGCAGGTAGTATTATTTTTGTATAAAGCTCTCTAATTATACTAGGCATGTTCAGAATACATTTAAGATACTGTCCTGACACACAAAAAAATTACAGTGTGCTTTTAGATATTACATAACTAATGAGAGTGATAAATGCTAGGAGAATGAATGGATCAAGGTTACAATAATAAGATTATAGGATTCCTCCACTATGTGTGCATAGTTTAAAATTCACTTCAATTTTGCTACCTCAGTCTGGGCTTTGGTTTTTTATTTTGGCTTTTTCTTTCTTTATCAGATTTAATTTTAATTTAATCTGAATCCACCAGACCATAACAACCTGGCTAAAAACTCTGACCAGTCTTGATTTTCTTTCTTTTTTTCCTTCTTTTTAAATTTGGATTCTGCCTGCTCTGCTTGCACAGCCACCATCAGTGCCCTGTTTGTATCAGAGCCGTTATTATGGCCTTTTCTCTGACAGCAGTCATAGTTGAAATATACTTGAATGCTTGCACTACTTTATTCTACATGGGGAAAAGGATACAAATAAAGAGTAATTATGTGATTTCTACACAATTACACCTGGATTCTTTAATCCCCACGTTGAAGACCCACAACATGCACCATGCATGTGGTGTGTGAAACGCATGCAAAACTCGTGCTAATGCTCCATCTTCTCCTTCTCATCCAGCTTTAACAGTCACTTACAAACGATTTGTGAAAAATCAATAATGCACCTTACCGGCTTTTTTGTAATGTATAAGAAAGGGCACTTTTTTGCCAATTTTTTAAACACTGAAAATATCAGGATTATAAAATTGGATTTTTATTGATTTTCTTGGAAGATCTTTGGGGTTTCGACAGACATGTATTGACAGCAGCCACCTCTAGCTGAATCAGAAGTATTGAATATATAACACAAATCATTGGATCTTCAACATATTTGAATTATCCTCATGTTAAAAAAAAAGTGATCAGGAATCTTTTTTCCTTTCAAGTCTTTGCTCTTGTGTTATTATTCTTTCTTACGTTCTTTAATCACCACAGCCTTGAAGGCTGCGAAAGAAAGATAAACAAACAATGGAATATCTAATGTTTCAAATACAAGCACAGATAAAAAAAGTAAAGCATACTCCTCAAGTCCTTATAGATTATAAATAAGTAGAGAAATGGCACAAATCTGTATTTAGGAAAATAACTTATTTCTCAGTATCTGTAATGAAGGGAGTTGTCAGTCACATTAATTTTTATGTAAATTTACCTAAGCTGATGAATCATAACTGAAATATTGTCTAATCTTCCTGGGTTTGGCCAGCATTTCCATTTCTATTTCGATTGCCTCAATTTATTTCTGTTTGCTTATATAATGAGTTTTAAGGGCCCATCCCAGGACCCATAATGAGCAGAAAAGAGGGGCTGCTTCACGGCACTGCCAGTCCCATACAAGGAGTGGATGCCCAACACATCAGACCAGTCCCCATGACAGACACTCAGCTTGGCACACAGCTGACGATTCATTATCATTCCTTCAGTAGACATCACAGCAGAGGAGATTTTTAGGGAGGGATTTGAAGGAGGAAAATTAGGTGAGTGGGAGTGCGAAGCAGCAGCGAGGGAAAGCTGGTTTGAACATGTAACAAGTAGAGAGTTATTACTGAATGAAATGTGTGGGGGGAAGCCGTTGGTTTCTCCATAGGCTATTAAAAGATGATGGGGTGGGAATAAGCTGCAAAGAGCCACAGAAGTGAGGCAGCTTTTGCTTGCCAAGATGCAGAAGGGGGCGGGGGGGGGGGATTCGCTGGAACGAAGAATAGGGCTGAAGCAGCAAATGTGAGGACAACCCGGGCACCAGTGTCTTGCAATAGTTCTGCTATTCTTTGCTGTTTTGTTTTGTTGTTCTCTTTGTTGTTTTGCTGTCACTTTGTACTGTCCAAAGTCAGATTGTTGGGGCCAAAGGCCTTTTTGTACTAATGACAAGCCCAACATGTTCTCAGGTGCTCTAAAAATACACAAATAAAAATAAGCAACTGCTTCTCCTGAAAACCATTTCCCTTCGGCCCTGATTCGAGTTACACCATTCAGTTATCTTTCTATTTCCAAAAGAACTTTCTATATGAACTTTCCAGTTCTCTCTTGTCAAATTATCTTACTGTTTTTGGAAAGACTGCATATCATCTATATTTAACACCACTTCAGCTTGGTGAGGTGACTATAACATAGCATTAAACTCAGACTAAAAAAATGAGTGTGGCATTTCTAGGTTTTTCAAGTATGTTAACTCAGAAGAGATAATTTGACTGGAAAAAGTGCTTTCCCCCAAATGTCTCTGATTGCAATAGAAATGTCTCTGTTTTCAACAGATCTTCTTGCAGGTATTGGGGGTGAGTTAATCGGCTGGCAATTAGATGCAAAAGGCCTTTGGATTATTATTTGTGGTCACCATAGAAGCGAGTCTCAGAGAAATGTGAATAAAGAGGTCACCCGAAGAACAGATATGGAAGGTCTCTCCACAGGCACTTAATTCTTAGAAATTTACAGATGAAAAATGCTATATGGGTATTAATAGATAGGAATGAAATATGGATGAGGGGACACTAAAGCTGGAATAGCAAGTAGAACAGAGGGAGTAAGGGCATGTGGGGACATGGTAAGAGACCAGACCAGAGCTGCAAACTTGGACAGAACTGTTTGAAATCTAAAAAATAAAAAAAATAAATAAAGGAATGAAGAGATCAGTACTATGAGAAATTATTTGAAGGAGAGTTGGGATGGGACGTGGCTATTAGGGAACATAAAAGAAGAAGAGAAAGATCAGAGTATATGTGGCATATTCTAAAGAGGGAGCTCCCAGGATCATTTGCCCAGCAATAAATAAGGAAGAGCAGAAGGCCTGGGTGATTTTCTGGCCTGGAGCAAGGCTGTAAGGGAAAGAATGTGTCTGTGGGGGTGTGTACACTTAGTGTAGCTCACTGTCAGCAGCGAGACAAATCCACCTTTTTAGTATGCAAGTGACCACCTATAGTTTATAAAGACTGCAGAGGGGAAAGTCTAGAAAATATTTTTGCAGAGCTTGAATCTAGATTGCCTCCAACATTCTTTTTTGCAAGGGTGTATCTTCCAACTCCATCACAAAGGCCCCTTGGTACACCACTTCAGACAGGTATTTCATCATGGAACAGGAATGTGGCTAAAGTAACGTTCAATTAGCTTATATAATACTAAAGTAAGATACTGAGAGCGAACAGGAATAGATAAAAGAAAGAGACCCAAGTGCCACTGAAAAAGAAAGGAAACAGTAAAGGAAGTGAAACCACAAAAATAAATGCTGCAAAAATAACCAGAGAACTATGAACTGAAAGAAGAATGAACAAGGCTTCAAAAACGAGCAGGCTTTCTCTCTTCCAGGGAGAAAGGAAGTAACTAACCCCACAGAAAAATCTAAGCATGTAGAACTTGTAGGTATTATCCATGTGAGTGCTGTTAAGAGGAGCTGAATTGGACCAGAAAAGGCATATGCTAGATAGGAAGACAAAGAGGTAAAGTGATGTTTAAATAGCATAACTTAGATGGAGAAAGATATAATTTTACATGTCTTACTCTTTTAATCTTGGATTGTTCCTCTGACTAGTCACTGGTCACTAGGAAGTGGTTACATGAATTTACTAGATCTAAGGAAGCAAACACCTGAGTGTGTGCATCACCATAAACACAGTCCTGTCTGCTTCCATTGCTTAGCATTGCTCGTGTACTCCCCGCTTCAGAGTTTTAACAGACACCTGGTTCGGGGTGCATTCAGCCCCATGTCTGCCTGTGTATGCACATAAACACGAGTCTTGATGCCTGTGCTTGTAACACTGCGCTCGTCCCGTGGTCAGCCTCGCTTCCGAGAGGCTGGAGTTGTCTGCGCAGAGGATGCACAATGGAGCTTGCGCCTCAGCATTAGTGAGACACGCATGATCACACCCAGCCTGCCGGGTCCCCCGGGACTCACACACATAATTAGCCCCTGTGCACCAGAGCCTTCATCGCCGTGTTTGCCACATGGTGAGTGTCACCCAGCGGGCCCGCGAACACGCGCACACAGAAGCCCTCCCGTCCCCGGCACTGCATTTGCCATATGGTCAGGCTCACCTGCTGGGGCTGGGGCAAGGAGACAGACGGGCAACACTCACACACATAATGAAGCTTCCCCACTGGGCTGCCTTAAGAAGTTTAAAAAAAATATAAAATAAAAGTTGACATAACTGCCACATGACCAGACTCACCTGCTGAGTTTTGGGGCAGGGTGGGGCAGTCACGCACACAGTAATTGGCCATCTCTGCCGGTGCTGCACCTCGGTGCAGGAGGCTGGAATCGGAGCAGGAGGGATGCGCTCCCTTTCCCTGGGGCAACAGATACCCTGAGCCCACACAGGCCGCCTCTGCTCCCCGCTGCCCTGAGCTGTGTGGAGGGGGACGTGCACCTCCGAAACACCGGGACATCGGGCAATAGGACGAATTTCTTCACAGAAGAGGTGATTGGACGTGGGAACGGACCGCACAGGGACGCGATGGAGTCGCTGTCCCTGGAGGTGATAAAGGAAAGACTGGACAGAACTTGGTGCCATGGTCTACTTGACACAGTAGTGTTTGGTCTTAGATTGGACTCGATGATCTCAGAGTCCAATCTAACTGCTATTCTGTGATAACGAGCCTCTCCTCAGTGCCCCGTGAGCACCTCAGGCCCACACCGACTCCCACGGGCAGGCACAGGCCCCGGGAGGAGCTCCAGCACCAGCACAACCCCGTCCTCCGGGGAGCAGTGACGGCAATTGCCGAGATTGAGAACAGCGACCGGGGAATAGAGAACCAGCTCCACTTTGCCCGTCCGAGCAGCGGCGGTAAACAGCGGCCGCGGGAGGCGGGGCGGGCGCGGCCGTGGCCGTGCGGG